ATCTCTCAACACAATCGCCACTTGCTAGAATGACTCTTGCAGAATGCAACGTGACCATAGCACCAACTCATGATACTCCACGCACATCCTCTTATCTACTCATTACGAATTAATAATAATAAAAATAATAATAATAGTATATTCTCATTTTGTACATGAGAGACGCCAGTTTACAGGCATCATCAATATGATAAATTACATATACGATTAGCAATCATAATTAATAATAATGTTTTAATAAAGTACACATTTTTTCCTACTTGTGTAGGACACACCAAATATACAGGCATGGATAAGCATTAATTAAATTTCATAAATTCGGTTTATGGTTAAGTTACATGGTTGCTGGCGTTTTTGTTTTAATAATAATTATAATAATGTATATTCTCATATAAACATATAAATTTACATGAAAATGCATGCCATTTTTTTAGGTCTGTGGGAACAATATGATAACCAGTCATTCAATGGAGCACATCATGAAATATAGGAATATTGACTTCGCATTAACAAAAAAACAAGTAAGTTTTGGATGGATTAAAAATACTTGGGAAAAAATAAAGCTTGAAGTTATTCCACAATATAACAAGTCATTCAATGGAGCACATCATGAAATATAGGAATATTGTCTTCGCATTAACAAAAAGACCCAAGTAAGTTTTGGATGGATTAAAAATACTTGGGAAAAAATAAAGCTTGAAGTAATTCCTCAATATAACCTGGGTGTGTACAAATCCGAATCTCATTTTTGATTTGATTTATATCCAAATTGGGTAATAAGGAAGCTATTTTTACAGATACGATCAGTTATGTTATAAGCTACAATCGTGACGTTGTATTACAAATTGATACTTTTCCATTGGTATAAGAGTATATTCCACAAATGTAATCCAGGTTGCGTCGTGGAGAAAGTTAATTCGTTATTAACCAGGCAACTGAAAGATACGGGACCAATAATGTTTGCAGATCATTTGTCATTGTAAATGGTCAAATATCCACATTATTCATTCTCATTCAAAAAGTCAAATGGAAGCTGAAATGGTGAGAGAAAAAAGAAGACAAACAACAGCAACGCAAAAGAAAGCAACGGGAGTCCTTAAGGAGTGATTAATAAATATATACATATATATTCTGTTTAGTAACTGTGGTTATTTTGGTACACAAACTAACTAGTCCCGTTATGCTAACTTTTATATTATGTGTGAACTAATATTACTGTCCTGTGTAGAAATGTTAATCATCTAGTTCCAATAATATTAAAATTTATAATTGTAGTTTGCTGTAACTACACGTTTAAACAACTTAAAATATCTATGTAGGGTGAAAAAGAGGGTGTAAGAGTCAGACGTATAAGTGCATTGTCATCTTTGAGCAGTCTGGTGACTGAGGAGATGAACACTGGAAGTGTGTTTGCATCGCGCACATTAGCTGGTAGTCTATTCCAAATGACTGAAAACTTATTTAAGAAGAAGTTGTACCGCACGTAAGTCTGACAGTGCTCCATAGCAGCTAGGTTGTGATGATTTCTAAGATTGTAACTGATGACAGCGGTAGGTTTAGTTATTGGCTCGGAGGAATGCAAGAGAAGATTAGTTAGCTTATAGTAAAAGATAAGGTTTAGCTTAAGGCGTCTTTTCCAGAGGGGTTCTAATCTTAGTCTTACGCATCTCTCATGGTATTCCAGACCACTTTCTAAACCAAGAGTTCTTGAGGTAAACTGCCGTTGCACTCCCTCTAATTTAAGCTTGTCATTTTGTCTTAGTCCGCTAAGAATAAACGGGCAGTATTCTAAGATAGGTCGGACACATACTTTGTATAATAAAACCCTAGTTTCACAACAAAAGAAATTGCGTGTTATGCATCCTATCAGCCTTCGCGTTTTACGTCTGGCATAATCAGTCTGTTCAGCGAACGTTAGGTTACTAGAGTATCTAATACCGAGATCTACGACTGAATTGAGCTTAGCTAGTTTTCGCCCATTTATTTCAAGGTTTAGATCAAGCTTACTGTTGCCGATACAAATCCAGCCGCATTTGTCAATGTTAAAATTTAGACAGGATTCAGCACACCACGTTGCAAGGCTACTTAGTTCAAGATGTATTTTATTAACCATATCGCTTAATTCATGAGTGTAGCAGGAGTAGACGACTTTGAGGTCGTCAGCATATAGGAATGGTTTACCTGAGGTGAAGCACTTGCAAATGCTGTTAATGTAAACTGTGAATAAAAGTGGACCTAGGACACTACCTTGCACGACCCCACTTGAGATCTGCCTAGGATGAGACAATACAGATCCAACTTTGGTTATTTGTACCCTGTTGCTTAGAAATGATTTTAACCAGTTCAGTAATGGGTTGCGAATTCCACAAGAGTACAGCTTCTCAAAGAGAATACTGTGAGATACCATGTCAAATGCCCTAGATATATCGAAGTATAGAACAACGACTAGCTTACGTGCTTCGCGATTACTAGTGATGCAGTTGAAAAAGTCGAAGTGGCAAGTAACGCAGGATCTATTTTTGAGAAATCCGTGTTGAGACCTTGTAACAAGATCCTCCCTAATTAGGTAGTCTGACAATTGATCCTTTACAACTTTCTCCATGATTCGTGAGATAACTGGGGTTATATTTATGGGTCTGTAATTGCGGACGTTTGCCCTATCACCAGATTTGTAATGTGGAATTATGAAGCTAGTTTTCCACTCACTAGGGTAAGTGCCAGTGTCCATAGATATTGAGAAGAATTTAAGAAGTAACAGGGGTATATCACACCCACTGTTTTTGAAAATTATCGAAGCGAGGCCATCCGGTCCCGTACTAGTGGAAGGTTTAAGGCTTTTAATTGCTTGTACTATTAACTGATTAGTGAACACAATGCTTTCAAGGGAAGAGATAGTAAGGGGAGCGGTTTCACCAGGCATATGTGTTTCTAAACTAAAGTTTGCAAACCAATCACTGAAAGTTCACAGATAGTGGCAGGTTCATTGTAGATTACTTTGTCGTGAAGTAAGTATGGGATTTCCCTCGCTGACTGCATTCGTTTTTTAAGAAGTGCCGTTAAGTTATAAACTTTGGAGGTACTTTCAAGTGCCGTTAACTCTTCGTCGAGGTCCTTTTGAGAGCGTAGGCGCTTGATAGATTCAAGAGACTCGTGGATTGAGAGCAATAGTGATATGTCCTTAGTGGAATAGTACTGTTTCTTCAGTTTCCTTAACTTATTACGGTGTGCCCTTGGAATATATTCAGTTCGGTGTCTACTTAATTTCACTATTTTATTTGGGGCAACTGTATCTAGACAAAGGGTAACATTCCTGTAAAACAGGGTTACTAAGGCCTCCAGGGAGTCAGTGGTAAAATAGTCATCCCATTGACAGAGTCGAATAAGTTCTTGGACTAATCCCCAGTCTGTATATTTGTAACTACGACATATTGTGCTTCCTGAGTCTTGTTTGTTTCCTGTATTTAGTGGTGAGAAAGGCAGAGAGCAGAGTACCATTCTATGGTCACTACTGGAAAATCTATTACCAACATAAGTGGATACTGGGATTGTGTCATGACAAAAAACAAGGTCCAAAATGTTGTCCCCACGAGTAGGTGTCTGGACGTGTTGTTGCCATCCATAACAGTCTATAGTGGCAAGTAATTCGTCGAAGCGTTGGGGGCCGGAACTAGTTAGCCAATTGACTTCTGGAAGATTGAAGTCCCCTGCAATTATTTTGTAATTAGCACTAAACGAGGATGCATGTGCAAACGATTTAGCTAATAACGCATCAGTTTCTTTTGTTGCGCTTGGTGCTCGATAAACACAGCCTATGAGAAGTTTGTACTTATCTCCATGTAAGACAACCCAGAGTGAGTCAGGTACATTATTCATTGTTTCATCTTCCACCTTACTGACTACAAATGAGTTATGTATATATATGAGACATCCTCCACCACGCTTGCAATCTCTGTTTGCACGGTGTACAGTGTAATCATCGATACCTATATGCACATCAAGTACAGAGGATGAGCACCATGACTCAGTAATCAGAGCTACAGTAGGCTTGGCGACTAATAATAATGTCCTTAGTTCAGATATCTTATTGATTAAGGAACGTGCATTAATTAGCAATATCGTGAATAAGTCACGGGATACTACAAACTGGCTTAAAATGTCACCATAACCTAAATCTATTTGTGCGTCAGCACCGCAAGAATTTATGAATGAAAAGGAGGTCGGACTGGGTGTCTGCACATCGGAGTTGGTGTGCAATGAGGTGGTCCTAGGTGCCATGGGTCGTACCAGTGATTCAGGACACCTGGAAAATTTACCATGTGTTCCTGGATATAAGGGTAGTACAGGTTGGGCCTAGGTTGACGGTTAAAAGGCATAGCATCAGAAGGTCTACCCATCCAACTGCTATTCGTCATACCGGTATACACCTTCGGGTTGTTTTTATAACTTAAAGGGAATTGTGAAGGAAGGTGCTTTGGCTGCAAGACTTTAGGAGTCTTGGAGCCTGACTTTCTATAAGGTGGAGCATGCGGAACACCTCCAGATGTACTTATGTTTCGAGAGGAGTTTTTCGTAACAAGTGATGGTTTGTTGGCATTCTTACTCTCAGCAGGCTTATTGAATACAAAGTATTCTTCCCCATCATTAGTCTCAACCCTGCGAAATTTGTTCATCGTGGTGAGGTTACTACGTTTGGGGGGAAATTTCTTAGAACAACTTGCAGAAGTTCTAGTCATTTTAACATCTTTCGATGAGGCTTTGTTTACAGGGGTACTGGTATCTAAATCAGTTCCTAGTTCCATTGGCAGGTGTGGTTGTTGTGTAGTTTGCTGAATGCTAGTTTCAGCACTAGGTGTCTGTTGCTGTGCACGATCCTTATTTGGTAAATCAAAGCTAGAGCTAGAGGAGGTGACCAGGTTATTACTACGCATTATTCTGCGCTGACACGGTGTTTTATCCTGAGCTACGGTTATAGACTTATAACTGCTATTCAGTCTTAAGTGATCCTGACATTTAGTAAACTTACTAGCATCAAGGGAATTACTGAATTTAAAAATGATTGGGCAATTAGCCTGGTTAGACTTTTTACGAAGTCGTTTGCATTCACATGGAACACTAGCCATGCCGCAACAAATCAGGATTTTGTGTCTTACAGTTTTCAGGGGCAGAGAATCTGGGACGTTGTAAACTATAGCTTGGTGAGAAGAGGTTATACGCTTCATCACCTCCGTAGCCAAGCAGTCAATCAGATTTTCAGCTTTATTTAGGTTGTCTGGAGATATTTTAGGATGCCTTTCTAAAAGACAGGCTATTGGGTCTAAATTCAAAAGCTTATTTTGAGTTACATCCAGTAAACACTTAACCTGGCCAATATCAGAACGGCTCTCCGTGGTATTTGAGATTGGCAGTGACATACTATCAAACTGATCTAATTTTTTCTGAATTTCACTTACTTGCCTCTGCATATCTTTCAAAAGGAGGTTTAGTTTACAGAACTCAGAGTTCTCTAACAGAACATCTTTCACCTGTATCACAGGAGTGAGATCTGCACTCAAACCATTTTGAGAGCTAGTAGTTGATACTGTATTACGAGGCGGTAATGCAGTTATAACCGAATTTAAGCCACTATCTAAAACAATTGTGTTTCTACGAACACGTTTTTTAGAGATTTGGACCATAATTTCAAGAATTATATGACAATAAGCAGTAAATAAATTTCAGAGCAAACACGTGCAAAAATGTCACCAATTTCGAAACGTACCACTGCAATCGCTTGTCACTCATTCTGCCTCAGTTCTAGTAGCGGTGACGCATGCGAGCCTCAGTCGTTTACACTCTTTCTCCCCGGCGTGTCGGACCGCAGCTAACAATTATCTCCGTGTGCATTTCACTCTCAGCAATAGCCTAGCCTCCCCGGCGTATACGACCCATCTGCTGTCTCTAACATCAATCAATTCATTCACGGATGTAGAAGACAAGAAAGAACTTCAGAAGTAATCACGACGAAAATTTTAACAAAATTATGCAATAAAAACAAGGCACGAAAACAACGAGTAAACACAACTGATCCAAAATCACAAATTGCGAAGACACACCACACGTATATACAAACAGTACAAATAACCTCGCGGATCATGTCTCGATGGAATTCCTTTAAAGAATTGCAGGACTTACAACAGTACGCCTGCAACCCTTCACAGGTTGACGATTATAAGTTGTGGAATGTCTAGACACAAACAAGATTAACCAACAATTACATCAATTGGAACTCACACAATTATTTAACACAAACATATGTACAATCAACACATCAAATGTGGTGGATTCTGCCTTGACAAACTACCCTTGAAGAACTGTAGGACTTACAGCAGTATGCCTACAACCCTTCTCAGGTTGACGCCCTAGGTTGTAAAATCGTCGCAGAGTTCATTTGCTAACTTCCTTCTATCAGCTATATCCTCAAATCTGAACTGCAACACGCTCATGTCATTGTATCGTAGAATATAGATGACCAACAAACACCCGACATATCTCATCAACCAAGTGTAGAAACAGAGTAATTTACACCAAAGATAATAACATTCAAATAGTAACTTGAAACTAGAAATGCCTTTATTCATGCAAGTCAATTTAACAATTACTCTCTCGTTTACACTTGGCTTATCCACACTAAACTGACCATTGATATTCGTCCTTTCAAACGAAGTGATACTACCATAGTCACTGCACAAGATACTTGAGTTGATGGGCATCTGTTTCATTGTGGATGAAAACACCAACGATTACTGAGTGACACAAGGTGATGAACTTAGCGGTGGATCAGAAGCTGTTCTTTTTCGGCTTTCAGATAGTTGTCCAACTGCAAGATTACCACCACTGCTGTCTTTCACTACTAGTTCGGGTTTAGCACTATCATCTGATGATAGGTGGGCTACACGCTGATCAATTACACTGACTGTCTCACAAGTATGCACACCTTTTGGAACTGCATCTGCGTTCAATTCTACTTCACGTTGTAGTTGTACAGAACCTTTATTTAACTTAGCAGTAGTAGGCATATCCCTCATCTCATAATGATCAACCAAAGACAACTGTGAAGTATCATGATCATTATCACGAATATTCACTTTACCGTCAACTTCATCATTTTCAAACTCTTTAATAACAGAAGTAGACAATTTTGGTTCCTCCTCGCAAATCATAAAAGGTTTTATAACTTCACTCTGACTAGTAATACCCTGTAAACTTGTAGTGTCAGAACTGCACTCTGAAGCAGCAACTCTATTCTGTGACACTCTATTCAACAATGGCTTACCAGTTGCAACTACAGACTTCCTGACCGCACAGATATCGTCACACAATTCGGAGTCAGACCTGGAGTTTACATTTAGCTTATCACTGAACTTGCACACTGGTTCACAGTTCACTTCTGTATGCACCTCTTGCACACGTGTAAAACAAAACCGTGTTTGTCTTGCATCTTGCAACTTATCTGTTAAGGATGTACTACGAAAGCTGTTACACTCACTAGATCTATATGCATTACTAGACATCATCGAGCCTTCTCGATATCCACCTCTCTGAGGCCCTTTCGTCATCAATGATTGCGTTTTACCCTCAGACTGCTCTATTCTAGTGGTGAGATTCAATATACTGGCAAACTTGCTCATCGATTGATTGACACTAGTATTTACCAGTTTCAGGATATCATCAAATTTTGGCTCGACACCCTCATCCTCTATACGAGAGCTCATCTTCACCCACTTCCTTTGCAGTCGAGTAGGTAGACGTCTTGCTATTACTTCTAGTATAAAACTCGAGTTGAGATCACTCATGCGATTCATCGAAATCATTCCATTCTTGTAAATTAGCAAATTATCTAAAAACTCAGTGAGTGCCTGGGAGTCATCCTGTAATTGACCACCATTACCCTTAACAGCCTCGAATAATTTCCCTGCAATCATCGAAGGTCTTCCAAACCTTTGACGTAATATGCTCATAGCCTCATCATAGCCCTCTTTTGGCTTCATAAACTTACAGCACTGTATAGCTCTTGCAGCATCTCCAGTGCAATATCTCATCAAATACATTAACTTCAATTCATCATTTAATAAAAAACCACTCAACATGATCTCAAACTCCTTTACAAATTGTAAATAATCAGCCGGGTTTCCATCAAAACATCGTGGTTCTAATTTAGGGAGTTTGATGTTCCTATTATCCCTGAACGGCGAAACAGTAACATCAACCATATCATGTTTAACATCAGACACATCGTTACAAGTAACAGACAAGTCACCATGACTTACTTTCCTGTTTGCATCCAAGACACTCTGTCCCTTCTTTGACCCAGGCATTGTTGAACTTCACCCAATTCCAAAAACGTTCCAGATATTGCTTGTTCAAAGAGGACTTGACCGGCACCAGGAAAAATGAACGGCGACTATCCAAACTTTCACCAACTGTTTGAATCCGCCAGATCTGTTTCCATCGTCAGAAACTGTCAGCAAAGTCTCATAAACCGTTAATGCCCAGCTCTCGCTACGCTCGGGCCCACGCTGTTCTTAGAAGATTTCTCAGAAACGCTTAGTAACAACGGACGAAAAAACCAAAACACCAATTGTTGACTTGAGTATTATGTATTGTTACACCAGCATATAAATCAAGTATCACTAAGCAAACTAAGGTCTGTAAACAAATATTACAATAATAAATCGTTATGTTACTTCTGACGATGTTTCTTTCTTCTTTCTGAACAGCGACCGATGAGACGATAACTGTCGTATTGATGCCTCCGCGAAAATCGAGGAAGTTGATTTTGAGCAAACAACCAAGAATTGATCATTCAATCTTCAACTCCATTGACATTGTGTCACCTGATTTCTCTCACTGATGTTCGACTCACTAATTCATTATACCTCAACACATACCACTGATCAGAAATAATTTAATATTCTCTTCGTAAACACTTGTTCTACCAGTAATAAAACCCCGTTTAGTTCTGGGATGTTGTACTTTAGGACTGGGGGTGTGATTCACCCCACTTGTAGGTCCAACTTTCTTGTTACTACACCTACTCATAATGTCCTCTGTTGCTCTCAGTAATGATGTTGGTCCATTATTACTCGTTAGTGACTACAGCAATGTAATTTGTGTCTCTAGCCTAGCCTCATCTTAGCATACTAACTGTTGTCAATGAGGAACAATAGTCAGAAACTCTTCCGAAGCCATATAGGGATCATCTGTTTTCTACATAACTTACTTTGGCTGACATGTATTTCTCACTTCACTGAAGACTTATATTATTCGCATCATGTTCTGCTCTGACATAACCATATGTTTCAGTGAACGTGTCCCTTTAGTGTATCTTGAAATCTACATGAGTGGCTTTAAATGTATATGTAAAAGTGGGAAAGCCCTATATGATTTACGATTAATACTGGGGCTTATTATAATTTGTGAATATCCTTACAATCTATGATTTCATGAGATCAGGCACTGTCAACAAAATTTACAAGGATTACTGGCGCTTGGAAGCAAATCGAAAATGGTTGCCTTCGCAAGCCTTTCCAAAAAAGACTTAAGCAGAAACACTGTCATATTCTTTTTATTCTTCAAAATACTGTACATTTCAAAGATAATATGAATATAGCCGGCCTTTCCATAAAGCACATTTCTAGTTCCCCTGACTATGACGATTGTGTCTGTATTAATTCGATATCTTTAACAAACAAATATTTATCGTCTACATTTCTGACAGCTATTACTCCAAAAAATACATATTTTTTGACCGTACAATTGGTTTTCTGATGTTAACCGATATTGTAGTTCACAACTCCTACTACTTTCCCGGAAAATGATGAAATTCTGCCAATGTATAAGGTATATTCAACCTTAGTTGAAGACCTTTTAAACAGATGCATCGTTTTTAATCTGCCCTTATGACTGTTTGTACTTCAAGGAGTAAAATACATTTGATTGTTTATCCTTTTCACCATTGTTGTCGAAAATTGACCCTCAAAATGACGGACGTTTCGAAGTAGCTTGTAGGTTTGAATTTCTTCTATGACTTATCGTATGTTAATTCTAAACTTCGTTTGTTTTCAGGACTTCATAAGCAAATTCTTCCACCATTATATCCAAATAGTAGGCTTTTCAATGAACAGAATAAGTCTACTAATAACCAGCTGCCTGAAGGCAAGACTAAAATTTTCTTTGCATCTGTACTAGAAGCGGACGAGTTTTAAGGTGATGTACTGGCATTGCAGATATCCTACTTATTTTCCGTACTTCAGTAATGCACCTTGATGCTTTATTGATATTCCTATCCGTATCAACTGGGGGTCAAGTTAAACTTTGAGCAAAAGCAATTAACAGTGGGGTGCGACCGTACAAACGACCTTGAAATGCTGTATGAGCAAGTTGGTGAAACCTGGAAAATAATATTGTTAGGATGAATGGGATATGCTCAGTGAAGTGTTATGATATTTAACGGGGTATCTTTTAGGTTTTATGTTAGGTTTGGTAAAGACTAAGATTTGGGATAAGAATAGGTTACGGGTAGGTTCAACTAATAAAGAAGATATGAAGGTTAGTTCGAGTTAGATTAGGGATTGTTTTTGGATATTTCTCGAGTGAAGGTTAGGTTTATTATCCTTATAAGGCATCCAGTCCTTGTGACTTAAAATTTCCAATAAAACTATATATTTTTTCGTTATTACTTT